CAAGTACATAATTCTTGGTCATTGATCTTAGGCTAATTTTATGCCTGTAGTTGAAATTTTTTTTAATTTCCTTCATTGTTTTTGCTGTTGCTTGCTAATGTACTTTCCAGTGATCCTATAATTAAAGATACTAGGTGCTTTACAACCAGGCTTCACATTCTTAACTTATGCTCTCAGGGTTGGTGGTGGATCTCTTTCTAAAATATTTTAATTTGTATTTTTATGTATATGAGTGTTTTGCCTGCATATGTATGTAAGAGCACTATGTGTATGCAATGCCTGCAAAGGCCAGAAAAGGGCACTGGATACTCTGGAACTCTCTAGTTCCAGATACAGATGGTTGTTAGCTGCCATGTGGTACTGGGAACTGAAGCCCAGTCCTCTGAGAGCAGCCAGAGCTCTTAACCGCTGAGCCCTCTCTCCAGCCCCATATGGTGAATTTCTTCACGCTGCATTTGTATGTGTTCTTCCCTGCATCACTGAACATAGACTGATCTAGTATACAGATTCCGTGTTCTGGACACATTATTAACCCTTTTTATTCTTCCTTTAAAATAGTTAATCTTTCATTAAAAAATCTTATTAGGAATTTGATTTCTAGACTTTCATTTACAATGCCCATCTCCTTTAATTTATAAATTCTAGCTTTCTCTATTGGTTGTGGTTTGGGGTTTTTCTGGGGGGTGGTTGAGGCAGGGTCTTATTTTGTAACCCAGGCTGGCCTTGAACTAATGGGGATCTTCCTGCCTTAGTCTCTCAAGAGCTGAAATTTATAGCCTGAGCCACCAAATATGGGCCCTGTGTTGATTGTTGAGTCTAATCCCATCTGGGCTTGGTTAGCCCAAGTGATTTTTAAAATTCATTTATTTATTTATTTTTATTTTATGTATGTGAGTGTTTTGCCTGTATGTATAAAGTACACTTGTGTCATGCAATGCCCATGGAGGCCAGAGAGAGTGTTGGAATCCCTGGAACTGGAGTTAAGGATGGTTGTTAGCCTCCATGTAGGTTCTGGGAACTGAACCCAGGTCATCCGCAAAAACCAGTGCTCTTAACTACTGAGTCATCTCTTCAGCCTCATAAATGCAAGTTTTTATAGTATTTCTGAACTTAAGATCCAGTAATGATAAATCTCAGTCAAAGCTGTATGTAACCTTTGGGGTCATATAGACTATTAAAATATCAAGATTTTATAGAAATAAAATATATTTTTCAACACTTCTTCCTTTCCTCATTCCACCCCTAGATTTCTAGCTACATATTTGGATTACATGTCACAAAGTAATGCTTATTTTCAGAAACCTACTTGGATGATATAGAAGAACTCATCACTCATGTCACTATAATTAACTTCTCACTAAATTATATCCTAGATAACATATTATAAGTGTATAAGAAACAGAAACACATACATTCTGGGCTTTATTTCAAGCCCAACAACTTACAGAAGGTCTACAATATTTAAATTTTCTAATTACAGAAGTGCTCACTGCTACAAGTCCATGATGTTACCTAGACACTGCTTTCCAGCAGTGTCACTGAACTCACATAACCAAAATAAAATACAAAAGTAGTCATATTAGTCTGTTTTTCATTATTGTGATGAAATATCTGAGGCAGATTTCTCTGTAATAAAATGGGTATTTTTGGCTCACAGTCCAGGCATCCAAGGTCATGGAGCCACATCTAGTGATGATACTCTTGCTGGTAGACTTCCAGGATGGCCAGAGCATCCATGGTACAAGACAAGGAGCACGTGTGCATTTCTGTGTCTCTTCTGTAATCTCTCCTTCTTATAAAGCTCCCAGGAGTCTACCATGGGTGTTTCACCCTAATGATCTTACCTAATCCTAACAACTTCCAAAGTCTCCACTTCTAAGCCCTATAGTTGGATTCAGTTTCCACCCTCTTATTGCCTCACAAAGGAGATTAAATTTCCAAACAGGAAGCTCTGGGGAACATTCAAGCCATATCTCAACCCTAACAGTGACTAGAGCTACTTTTCTCCAGTTCGATTTGAAATCTAGCCCATGTGATCTTCTAGCATTGATAAGACAAGTAACAGTCTCAGTTCAGCTCTTTTATTGGTAAGCTTCTGTCTTCCTCAATTTCAAGTTGTGGAAAGTATCATCATGTTGTAAATCAAGAGATTTACAGTAAACATGAATATAATTCCAAATTCTCAGCTTTCTTTTTAGTGAAGTTAGTATTATTGCCTAGTATCATTAAGATCTCAGCATAGCCTGGGGCTCCATAGAATGTGGGGTTTTGCCTGGTTTCCTATTATTGTATTCTTGTCAAGGGTCTAAATATAATGAAATCAATGATAACAGGTTTCTAGGCTCTTCATTCTCTAGAAGTGGGTGTTTAAAATCTTAGAAGTGTGCCCTATCACTTTGTAATTTTTTCCTTCATGTACAATAGCTAAAACTGTTTCCTCGTCTTGTGTCATCCTTGTACTCTAGGAGTTGAGAACTGCAGTATTCTCTGACCCTGATCCAGTTGTTATACTTATCTTCAAAGATAATCTAGTTCATTCTTTGGAATGAGACCTATCCGTCACCCATGATCTATAATCCTGGAGCTTTCAGATTAACTTGAGCCTACAAAATCCTCTATGGCTCCCAGGTACTTATTCCAAAGAGATGGAACATGAGAGCTCAGGGAATCTCAAAGTGTTAAATGTCAAAGTCACTTAAGAAGCTTCAGCTACAAGTTCATAGACTCCTCGTGCAGATGATCTGATATTGAACATCCAGAGGCACCTGCTCATCCTCATTCTAAGCAAGTTCTCTGAATAAGTATCACCTTTTGGTGTTTTAATGACTATCAAGGAACTTAATATTCTGAGGAACTTTTTCTGCTTTACATGAACATTATTCTTTCCTTCCTACCTACATTTTGGAGTGCTGTGCCAGTTCAGAGAAGGCAGAAATAACAAGGTACATTCCATGCCCTCAAGAAATTCTCAGTCTGCGTTCTCTTCATTTTGCACATTTAACTTTGCAGTTCTTGGCTGTTTCAGATGATCATATTCTGACATGAGGATGCTTCATGTCATAGGAAACTTTGCTTTGTCTCAGTACATCTGCAGTGACATCTGCTCCAAGTCTTCATCATTGCCTCTTGGATTCAACCTTGGCTGAAGGGAATTCTTTCTAAAGTTCATAAAATAGAGGCTAGAGAGATTGCCTAGTGGTTAAGATCACTTGTAGAGGACCTGGGTTCAGTTCCCAACACTCACATGACAGTTAACAACTGCCCATAATTCTAGTTCCAAGGGATCCAACTCCCTCTTCTGGCCTGTGCAGACACTACATACACATGGTGCACTTACACACATGCAGGCAAAACATACACATGAAATACAAATGAATAAAAATTTAAAGTTCATGAAGTTAATAAATTTATTTCCAATTAGTGTGTAGTGCAATTGACACCATTAAGAATGGTAGGCGCTTTAATGTTGGCAGTTTGTTTGACTTTCAGCTGTTCTCATCTATCTAATTAGTCTGGGATCCTTTTCTAAGATCGATTAACCTACATTGGAAGCAATTTCAAAACTATGCCTCATACTTTCATTTCTTCTTTAGCTATTTCAGTGTTGAGCCACTGTTCCTGCTCCGTTCTCTGCCTTGATTCTTTTGTGCTCTTTGCCTCCGAATTATGTACTGCTTTTGCTGTAATTGTTCCAGTTTCTTCTGGAATACTACCTTATGAAGTTGACCTTGAATATCTTTTCTGTTATATCAGGAGACTAATCAGGTTCTCAGTTTGCCCTACGGTGCAGCCAGAACAGATCAATTTTTTTTCAGTGCTGGAGACTGGATACAGGGCCTCACAAATGCTAAGAATACATTCTAACACTGTGTATCCCCAGGCTCCAGATCTCATTTTTGATCCTTGTTTAAGGTGGTTTGGTATCAAAGACAAAGGCTCAAGCAGAGCGGTCTTCTTTTCAGGTTCCCCTGTAAGGCTTGCCTTCCATGTGGCTCTGTAAATGGTCAAATCAAAGCTAAATTAATCACACAGAAAGCCACTAGGACTTTAAGGTGTTCGCCATGTCAAGCTGGGGCTCTTTTTCAGAAATATAAACTAAGCAGGAAAAGGATTCCTCTAACTTAAGAGTTTCAGATTACTTCACAGAGCTGAACTTCCTGGGCTGAATGTGCTCAGTGGGCGAGGATCTCTGGGGGCAGTGAAAGTGGATCCTCTGGGGCTTCCTTCTACATTGCCAAAGAAAAGTATAATCACCCAAAGGTGGAAGGATTTGTGTTAGCCATCTGGAGGAACTTTCTTATCGTGATAGCACCAAGTTTTTAAGTTCTGGAGGAAGGTGACAGGCAGGAAGACTTCCAAAGGGATTAGCTATCCCAGGATTTCTGTTAGGACTGTTGAAGCAGGAGGGAGGAAGACAGTGGGAAGTGTGTGTGTGTGTGTGTGTGTGTGTGTGTGTGTGTGTCTGTGTGTCTGTGTGTCTGTGTGTCTGTGTGTGTCCGTGTGTGTGTGTCTGTGTGTCTGTGTGGTGTGATAGTAAGAAGGAAGAGAGAGAGGGAGAAAGAGAGGGAGAGAGAGACAATGACAGGAAGGAGAGAGAAGGAGAGAGAGAGAAAGAGAGAGGTGTGCTGGGCATTGTAGAGAGGGTGTTCTAATGTTTCTTTTTTACCCTAGTTTTGGATGTCCATTGTGGCCACCACTATGCCCATACCCTGTGGAGGCTTCATGCCTGTTTTTGTGCTAGGTAAGGACTGATGGAATCTGATAGCTACAGTCTGGGTAGGTAGTAGGCAAACAAGGAAAGACCTCAGATCCTGGGAGTTTGGATTTGGTCATACTGCCCAAGCACGGATTGTCCTGAAGACATGGAGACAAGGAACTTGGCTCTTACAACATTTTCCTTTTCAAAATCTTCCCTCTAGGAGCTGCGTTTGGAAGGCTGGTAGGCGAGATCATGGCCATGCTATTCCCTGATGGTATCTTATTTGATGACATCATCTACAAGATCTTACCTGGGGGCTACGCAGTAATCGGTGAGACATAGTGGTACCCTCTAGGATCCAGACATCGAGCGCTTGAAGTTCTCACAGTCAGACTGCTGGACATTTTCATTGCAGCTACACAGCCTAGCTGAAATTCAACACTGTAATTCAACATTTGTTCAAATAGCCAACCCTTGGTTCTGCCTCTCCAGACTCTTACTGAACTTCTGTGAAACATACATTATAGCAACTAAGTAAGAAAATGAGGAAAAGGATACCCTGCTTGTCTTTGGGTGTCTGGTGGGCCCTCTCTCCTGCCTAAGAATTATGTAGCCCACAATGCATGTGACTCGCTCAGTCCATCCAAACCTACATGTGCTAATGTTAATGGAGACTGAGAGTACAGGAGTGAGAGCTGAGACACATGAGCCCTAAGCTTTCTAAAATGACTTCTAAGACAGACCTATGTATGGTACCACACTTCCTGATCCTAGTCCCTGGCAAAACTTCCATTATCAACAGGAGTCCTCATCCTCTTCATGCCTCTTGGGTATCTCTCATTTTCCCTGCTGTGCATTTCCTGGTATACATATCATGTTATGTGCTGACCTATACTGTGTGCATCACACAGTAGGGCCATGCCTACCAGTATCAGCTTTTTGTGACTTTTTATTATATTTTCACATATACCTTCTCCAACATTTTCCCGCAGGATATCTTCCTTATATTTAAATAAGGAATACAGTTAAAGCATAAGGGACTTTGGTGGGGGGAGGGTTGGTGAGAAAACAACTTAAAAATAAACAAGATAGATTCTATCTTTGGTGAGCTTATAGACTCATACAGCTTTGGATCTGAAAGAATTTTAGTTTGTTAGTGACATTTTTACTCTATAGGTAAGAGCTTGGTATCCCGACAACTTAAATGCTGTTCATCCAGTTGGGACACAGACTCTGGATCCCATGCAGGCCTCGTTCATCCAGTTGGGGCACAGACTCTGGATCTGACACAGGTCTCATTGCCCCAAGTCCACAGCTTCGTTCCTGGCTTTTCACACTATTTACTCATAAATTGTTGGCATTCATTCAACACCTGAGGCTCAAAGTAGAAAGCCATCATTGGGTTTTTAATATTCAGTAAGGGTGACCCAAATTCTGAAAAGCAAGAAAAGCAAAGAATGGGTAAAATATCACTGCCTTCACATCATAAACCAAAGTTTTGGCACACATACAGAGATGTGACTTATTGAAGGTTACATATAAATTAAATCAAAAGGATAATTTTCTAACAGGCCAGCACACTGCTCCCCCTTGTTGACAAATGTGATCTTGGCAGTACTGGTACCGGCCAGGGTCCTGTCTCTTATTCCACATCATTCCTATTACACCTTCATGTACCCCCCCATGCCAAGAATGGCAGTCCTAACCCTTTGGTAATCCTGTCATTCCAGGAGCAGCAGCACTGACAGGCGCTGTCTCCCACACAGTCTCCACAGCTGTGATTTGCTTCGAATTAACGGGTCAGATTGCTCACATCCTGCCCATGATGGTGGCTGTTATCTTGGCCAACATGGTGGCTCAGAGTCTGCAGCCCTCCCTCTATGACAGCATCATCCAGGTCAAGAAGCTTCCCTATTTGCCAGACCTTGCTTGGAACCAGCTCAGGTCAGGGGTACCAGCTGGAATTAGATTAGGGTTGATGGGCTGTGGGAGGTCCTGAGGTAGAGGATGAGGTTAGCATCGGTGTTGGGAAGCACTTTTTTTTTTTTTTAAATTTTATGTGTATGAGTGTTATGCCTGCATGTAGGTAAGTGCACTTGTGTCATGCAGTGCCTGTGGATGACAGAAGAGGCTGTCAAATCCCCTGGAACTGGAGTTATGGACAGTTGTTAGCTGTCATGTGGGTGCTAGGAATCGAACCCAGGTCTTCTGCAAGAATAGTCAGTGTTCTTAACTGCTGAGCCATCTCTCCAGCCCCAAGGGGAAGCACTTTTTAAAATTATATTCCTGTTTCCATTTACTTAATGTTTACTGTGAGTGACAGAATGCATGGCAAATCTTGTGAAAAGAAGATACTGGAGTATGGTGGAGCTAACCCAGAATGCTTTTTCCCTCCTTAGCAAATTTACCATCTTTGTTGAGGACATCATGGTACGTGATGTGAAGTTTGTTTCAGCTTCTTGTACCTATAGGGACCTACAAAACCTGCTCCAGACCACCACAGTCAAGATGTTGCCATTGGTTGATTCCAAAGGTCAGTGGGAAGGAGGGAAGCCTAGCCCCAGCTGGTAAGGAAAGCAGGGTGCTGTAGGAGCAAAGAAAGCACCAGTACTGAAATGTTTCTAAAACACCTGAGAGAAACAGCTTTGAGAGGAAAGTGTTGTTCCAGCTCTTGGCTTCAGAGAGTTTGGTCCGTTGTGGTAGTGAAGGTGGAGCAGAGCAGTACACTGTATCAGGCCAAGAAGCTGGGAAGGGAGTACAATGCCCTCCTGGCTGCCTGCTTTCGGGACTGGAAACCCATGAGATGGTGCTACCTCTATTCAGGGTATACTCAGTTAAACTCTCCAAATTTCCTCACTGACACACCCAGTCTCCTAGGTGATTCAGAATTCAATTGGTTGATAGTACGATTAACGGTCACTGGTATGGACCTGTATTCAGGACTATCCAGCTTACTGTGGGCATATCAGCTTGTACTAACTGGGGAACATGATTGTCCTTTAGAAAGGAAAAATACAGCCATAACACATGCACACGAAGATAGTGAAAATCCAATTAAGGAAATACAGTCAATTCTTATTACTCATGACAACTATGCTTTCTAAAGTCTTCATGAGCCTGGGAGTAGCACTCAGTTTACAGAGCAATTGCACCTAGAGGAAACTTGAGGATAAGTTCCTTGACTCTGATCACTGCATTTTTGTCAATCAGTCAATGCATAACCATGTTTTATGTATGCTTCTGTTTTAAGACACCCTATTTAATAGATATTTTTATTTATTAACATTGAACGCATGGAAAACAACACTATAATCCTACCAGAATGAAACTTACTTAACATACTTTGTCAGTAAGGCATAACACAGTCTTCCTATGCTTAGGAACACGAGACAGAACATTAGCAGTACATTTGGCGGACATTTTAAACAGCTAAGTAACCACGCAAAGCACAAAGATGCAGAAAAACAACGTGGCATTGAATAGATTGCTAGCAGAACACTGTTTACTTGGCTGAGAGGAGAGGGCCAAGTACTGTTTTGTTCAATCTCAGCTGGGAACCCAGGATCCAGGCAGCTCACATTTTGTTGTTGTTCTATGCATATCCGTGAATTGACACCAAAAGCACGTCTAGCATTGGAGTTACAAATTTAATGGGCGAGCGAACTGACAAAGAGAATTCATAAACAGGGTCAGCTATCAGGCCCCTCATCCTGCTTAACTAAGTGATGTAATTTCTTTTCTTTTCTTTTTTGAGGCAGGGTCTTCCTGTAACCTCAGCTGACCTGGAACTCACTTTATAGACCAGGCTGGCCTTGGTCTCACAGAGATCCACCTGCCTCTGCCTCCAGAGTTCTGGGATTAAAGGCATGTGCCACCATGCCTGGCTTCTTTTTTTAATTTTTAAAATGTTTTTATGTGTGAGTGTTTTGCCTGCATGTATGAAGGGTACCTGTGTCATGCAATGCCTGTGAAGACCAGAAGAGGGCATCAGATTCCCCTAGAACTGGAGTTAAGGATGGTTGTTCACCATGTGGGTGCTGGGAATTGAACCCAAATCCTTTGTAAGAGCAGCCAGTGCTCTTAACTGCTGAGCCATCTCTCCAGCCTGTATGTCATTTCTTTAATGCCAACCTAAGGAAGGGTGAAGCTGCCCCTCAAGGAGGAGTGAACAGTTTCAGGAGGTGGCGACTGCACATTTCCTTCATTGACCACCCTTCCTGCCCACCTTTGGCACACCATCCTGCTTTGTATAATTTCTTGTAGTTTATGTATTTATGTCTTTCTCACTAGATTAGATATTCCTTGAAGTTTAGACCATAACCTCTATATTTCCAGAGTTTAAGTATTTATCAGATATTCAATACTCACTTCTCTGTGAATTAATGCAACACAGAAAAGCCAAATAGGGCTATTAGGAGCCGCTGAGATTGCTAGTTCTGATTTCGGATACTCAGAGCATCCAAATTTCTCAAATTACATGAGTTCAAATATTTTCCCTAAGCTCAGACCTTCTACCTTCTCAGTAGCTTCTGAAATCATAGTTTTTCTTTAGAGCAAAGGTACAGCCAATAAGACACAGGGTTTTCATTATATAGCTAAGACTTAACAGGAAGACTTAGCTCAGCACTGTCACTGCAATGTCATGGAACTAAACTTACTGAAAAATGTTAATTATTGTAGCAGAATTTCTACAAATATATAAAAGACCATCTCTAGAAAAGTGGCAGTTTTGTTTATATTCTACCTAGCATGGCCCAGGCTCTTTAACTGATAAAATTTCTTTCAGGATAGACGACCTGATGCTGGTGTAGCTTGTAGACTTAGTGTGTTTGGGTCTCAGACCTAAGAACAGCTTCTACTATTTCATTATATTTGTACAGGGTTGATGGGCCTATTTTCATACTGAGCTCACATAAGGGCAGCCTACAGATAAGTACAGATTAGCACCAATTAGTGTGCTGCCAATGGGGTCTGTAAGTGCTAAATGCATGAAATTAAAGGGATCAAGTGAGGCCACCCTGAAGGAGTGTTTTGGAAGAGACCATAGGAGCTGGGGAAAGGGCTTGGGTTCCTGCTGCTCCTGACTTGCAGTACAGGTGTGGAGCAGGCCCTCAGGGAAGCGTGAATGTCCCCCCCAGATTCAATGATCCTGCTGGGCTCTGTGGAGCGCTCAGAGCTGCAGTCCCTCCTACAGCACCACCTGTGTCCAGAGCGGAGGCTGCGGGCTGCCCAGGACATGGAACGCAAGCTGTCTGAGCTGCCCTATGATGGCAAGGCACAGCTGGCTGGAGGGTGGCTTCCTGGCGGTACACCACAGGGCCGGCCTGAGTCATTTGCCTTTGTGGATGAGGATGAAGACGAGGACCTCTCTGGGAAGACTGAGGTGACCAAGCAGGGAAGAGTAAGGAACCAGACAGAAGGAGAATAGAGAAAAGCATCAGCGGGGGTCTGCAGTGACATCTCTTCTGTGATGATGGGCTAGGCTGGGTTGCCACAGGTGCTGGGAAGAATGAGCTGCAAGGGAGATACTAACAAGGGAGAAAGCCACTAAATGATGCTGGATCTCATGCCAAAGAGACCAGTGCTTCTGGGTGCTATATCCAGAGGGATAGAGGAATTCTGAGCAAGGGAGTGGAGTTAGCTTTCCCAGGACACTGCTAGGGAAGGCACCGGGCAGCCTCTGCGCCAAGACTGAGGATTTTTGCTATTTCTTTCAGTTTCCTCCTCTCCCTCCACTTCCCCCTTTTTCTGTACCACTGTCTCCCGAAGAGCCTAATGGGCCACTGCCCAGCCACAAACAGCCACCTGAAGCCCCAGAACCTGCAGGTAAAGACTTCCCAGCATGCCTTGGGAGTTATGTCTGGGCTCACCCTTACCTAAGAGCTACTCCTGTGAGGAGGTGTGAGGGTAGGGGACAGCCAGAGCTGGCTCTTATTGATAATTTGCCTGTGTTGCTGTTCTTGGGGACGGGGAAGAGGTAGACAAGAGGAATCTGTGGAAGTGATCATTTGGCGACACAGTGTTAGGGACCATTGGGAACCCCTGGCCATTCCCTCATCTGCCCACCATGCTCCTTTCAGGTCAAAGATCCTCCATCTTCCAGAGCCTGCTACGCTGCTTGCTGGGCAGAGCTCGCCCCCCAAAGAAGAAAATAACCCAGGTAAGAGGAGGTGTGTTTAGAAGAGAAACGAGGATGGGGAATATGTATTTGAGGGGTAAGAAACTATAGTCCTTAATTATAAGGTCAGAGATCCCACCCCAAATGGTGACATGAAAGAGACTTCTCTGGACCTGTCCAGGAAGACATGGTTCCTGCTTCGCTGGGAACCCTAACCAGCATGAGAAGAAAAGGGAAAGAACTTGGTCCTGTGACTTTCTTCCCTAGGATTCAACGGACTTAGTGGACAACATGTCACCTGAAGAGGTAAGAAACCCCACAGCCTGGGATGGATTGCCTCATCCAGCGGAGGTATTGCTTTTTATGCTACTTCCTTTAAAACGCTCTTGTAAGAAGAAAGCGTGAGTCTTGATGGGGACGGTCTTTGAGAAGATGGACTAAGATGTCCCTGTGGAGAGAGGAACAAGCAGTGATGGGCCTTGAAGGTATTCTCAGAGACAGAGTGGCTTCAGAAGAGGAAGACCTGAGACTCCCTGTATACATGGGACCATGGGGCTGAGATGAACCTTGGATTGTCTGGATCGAGGGATGCTCTAGGACAGGTGGAAGCTGTTCAGGAAGGATGGAATTTGCCAGAATGAAATGGCACTGAGGGGCGGCACTAGAGCACAGCAAACAGAAGGGCTATCTCCAAACTAGAATGGGAAAACCCTGGTGAAGGTTCCTATACTGTGCTGACCAGGCTGAGACAGTAAGTACATATGGGAGATGGATAATGGCAGTGATGCCTCCTGGAGAGAGACACCTGTTTCCTGAAAGAAGAAGCCATCACATCCATGACAGAAAAACCAAATGCTGAGCATATTTAGTTGAGTGAACAGAATGTGGAGTGGTGGTTGGCAGCCTGAGCAGAACAGGCCCTAGGGGTTGAAGAAGAACAAAAAACAAAATCCATTAGCAACTATTCCATGTAGTAAAGGAGTACAGGCTGACTACAAAGGCAAAAAGGTAGAGCTTTAAAATGTGCCACTGATGGAAAGCCACTGTGGATATTACTTTAAAATAGACATCTTATTGGACATGCGAAAAAATATGTGCTGGAGATGAGAAGTACTACAGGCTTGAACAAAGGGTCGTAGGAAGAAAAGAAGGAAAGAAAGAAAAGAAAACTTCCCTTTCTCCCCTGCTGTCCCTCTGATGAATGACATTTGTAGAATCAGGGTGATGATCACAGAGGCAAACGATCCCTTCCTTCCACCCAGGAGACAGATGGGCCCCAAATGCATTAATGGAGACTTTGTTAAGTTGCTAAAATATACACACATTTTATTTTTTTAAGACAAGGTTTCGCCAGGTGTGGTCGTGTGTGTCTTTAATCCCAGCCCTCTGGAGGCAGAGGCAGGTAGATCTCTGTAAGATCGGGGCTACCCTGGTTCACATTGTGACTTCCAGGTTAGCTGTGACTAGAGAGACCCTGTTGAAAAAAAAAAAAAACAACCAACAAAAAGAAAAAAAAAAAAAAAAAAAAAGAAAAACAAGGTTTCATTGTGTAGACAGGCTGGTCTCCAACTCACAATGATCTGCCTGCCTCTGCCTCCCAATTGCTGGAATCCAAGGCATTTGTCACCATGTCCACTGTATACACACATTTTTTTATTGCACCAAAAAGTGAAAACCAGCCAGTCCATTAGTATGGCTATTTTTTTTTTTCGGTCTTTTTGAGACAGGGTCTCCCTGTAGCCCCAGCTGTCCTGGAACTCACTATGTAGACCAGGCTGGCCTTGAACTCACAGAGATCCGCCAGCTTCTGCCTCCCAAGTGCTGGGATTAAAGGCATGTGCCACCACACCTGGGTAGTATGGCTATTTTTAAAAAAATATTTTATTATTTTTATTTTATGTGTATGAGTGTATTGCCTGCATGTATGTGAGTGTACCCGTGTCATGCAATCCCGTGGACGTCAGAAGAGGGCTTCAGATTCCCCTGGAACTGGAGTTAAGACGGTTAGTAGCTGCCATGTGGGTGCTGGGAATCGAACCTGGGTCCTCTGCAAGAGCAGTCAGTGCTCTCAACCACTGAGCTATCTCTCCAGCCCCAGTATGGCTATTTTTTAAAATATTTTTATTTTGCTGGGTGTGGTGGCGCATGCGTTTAATCCCAGCACTTGGGAGGCAGAGGCAGGCAGATCTCTGTGAGTTTGAGGCCAGCCTGGTCTACATAGTGAGTTCCAGGACAGCTGGGGCTACAAGGAGACCCTGTCTCAAAAAAGAAAAAATTTTCTTTTTTATTTTATGTGTATGAGTGTATTGCCCAGCATGTGTATAAATGCACAATGTGTGTGCAATGCCTGAGGAGGTCAGAAGAGGGCGTTGGATCCCCTGGAATTGGAGTTATAGGCATTTGCTAGCTGTCATGTGGTTTCTGAGAGAGCAGAGAGCCCAGGTCCTCTGTAAGAACAGCCAGAGTGGTAATTGGGACTGAGCTTTTTCATAAGACCCAGCAGCAGCATCATCCTCCTTTTGGGCAGAAGCTTGAGATGTGGCTGGTATGTGGTCAGCACAGAAGACTAGAAGCCCAGTCCACCAGTCACTGCCAGTAGAGCCTCTGGTAGACAGCTGTGTGCCCCCTGCTTCTTCATCAGCAAAATGAAGACAGGGCTGTCGAGAGAATTCGATGAGCTAAGACATGAAAACCATTAGAAGGATGCCCAGCACAGAGGAAGTGCTTGCTAAACGTTCTCTGCAAACACTGCTGCTGTTGTTACTAGGAAAAGGCAAGAGTGGAAGCTGAGCAGGCCTGGGGTGAGCTCAGAAGGACCGACAAAGCAGGTCCTGTCTATACCGTCCAACCCCAGCGTGGACCTAAGCATCTTTGCACCATTTCCATTGTGTGGGCAACCTGTGCTAAGAGCCAGTTAAGCCTCACATGAACCTTTAATCAGGACAATTGGAATTAGAGGGTGCATGGCTGTGTCCAGAAATTTCAGCAGGGGACAGATGGAGGGAACCTCACTGTGGACGGCATACTCAACCCTAGAACAAGGTGCTAGGTTTTGTTGTCAGTCTCTGAAGATGAGGGGTGCTGACTTGGATAAAGGGAGAGCCGAAGTACTGAATCACCCAGAAGGTAAGCATCTGAGGCTCATTTATGAGCTGGAGATGGGCTTACCTGGCATCTTGGTGTGCCTTTGTGCCTTAGTGTGTCTGTAATAGACTGAAAACCAGAAACAGAGCCTTGCCTGCTCAAGTCAACTAAATACCAGGTGGTGCGGTGGGTCTGTGCTTCCCATAAGGAGCAACTGCTAGCTTTCTCCATCCCGAGCCATCAGAATCAAATAACTCTCTCAAGAAGTTTACATCCAATAGGTAGAAGAAAGGCAGGTGCCAGCACAAGGCTGAGTATGAACAATATCATTTCTGAAAAGATTCACAAAGTATCAAAGTACGATGAGAATTAGAAGTAAATCTCATCAACTGGGAGTGTCAGGAAGACACACTGAAGGTTGGGAATAAATGTTTGGAGGCCCAGGCGGGACAAGACTTGGCAGACTGTAAGCTGGAGCCAGTGTTCTGGATACCTGTTGAAAGGGCTGGACCTGGTGAAGGAGGAGAAGGGAAATACCATCTCCTGGGAAGAAAAGGTGTCCCTACTAGTCAAGAGTTCCTGTGGGTCAAAGCTGAGCACCTGAGATTGAAGGGGTCTCTGGGATACTCTGTCAACAGATTGAGGCTTGGGAGCAGGAGCAGCTGAACCAGCCTGTCTGCTTTGATTGCTGTTGTATCGACCAGTCTCCCTTTCAGCTGGTGGAGCAGACAACCCTGCACAAGGCAAGCCCTTACTGAGTGTTGACAGCTTGAGGGAGGGCAGAAGTGGGAGCATGAGCTGACCTGTGCTTTCCCTACCCAGACTCATACCCTCTTCTCGCTTCTCGGCCTCCATCTTGCCTATGTGACCAGCATGGGGAAGCTCAGAGGTGTCCTGGCACTAGAAGAGGTAAGGGTGACAGGCCCCACTTGACCAGAGGAAGGAAGGGATGGGCACAGGACAAGGAAACATGAGTGGGAAAGGGATGGAGTGGACACCTCACACTCCAGCAGGGAGAGAGGGCAAAGCATGTTAGGGCCACAGCCCTGAAGGAGCCATAGTTCTCCACTCCAGACAGGAACTGTGCTATAGGGAGGGCTGTGGGAAGAGGAAGGTGGTATGAAGAGGTCTTAAGAGGTTCAGCTGCGTGTGGTGGCGCACGCCTTTAATCCCAGCATTCGGGAGGCAGAGGCAGGCAGATCTCTGTGAGTTCAAGGCCAGCCTGGTCTACAGCTGAGAGTACAGGGAGACCCTTTCTCAAGAAACAACAACAAAAAAAAAAAACCTTAAAAAAAGAGGTAAAGATCCATGGTGGGGGAAGGGAGGCTTGCTCAGGGGCGCTGGAGAGTCACTGGCTTGCTGGGATAGTGTGGTGTCCTGCCCGGCCTTTTCCTCTTAGTATTTCCCCTTCTTACTGCTGTCTGTCCCATTCCAGTTTCATCCTGTGTTGTCTGTTCCTGCTGTCTGTCTCCCACTGTTCCCACCTTTCTTTTTCTCATCTATCACTTTCCATCTCCCCTTCGTCCCCAGCTACAGAAAGCTATTGAAGGCCACACAAAATCTGGGCTGCAGCTCCGCCCTCCCCTTGCCAGCTTTCGGAACACAACTTCAACTCAGAAGAGTCCTGGGGGGCCATCCCCTCCTGCAGAAGGCTGGAGCCTGCCTGAGGGTGGAGTTGGGGCTCTCGGAGCAGTGGACATGCTTCCCACACCAGAAACCCCTGTACCACCACCATCCCCAGAGGCCTCTGACCTCCAGGCCCCAGCCAGAGTGGAGGGTGAGCTGGAGGAGCTGGAGATGGTGGGGAGCTCAGAGCAAGAGGAGGAGCTAGCTGACATCCTTCAGGGCCCCAGCCTACGGTCCACCGATGAGGAGGACGAGGACGAGCTTATCCTATGACTTCCCCATACGTTCTTCATAAAAGCCATGGGGCCCATGCCAGAGGCTAGACTCCTTTGTGATAGGATATCCTGAAGTTGGGGAGGACACACCTCCATCTTTCCCCTACCCCCACTGTCAAAAGTGATGGAGATAATCTTAAGAACTTAGCACTGGGCAGGAAAGAAGTTGTGTCAGTTAGACCACCTCCCCCATTCCTAGGCAGGGTTTAAGACCCCATGAAAAGTCCCTGTGTTTTCCTGCTGTACAGGTACCTCCCTTTGTCCCCCCCACAATTCCCAGTGTTGTCCAACCACCAACCTGGCCTTACCTATCTTGCAGTTTCCATAGAGGGTAGGTGAGCAGAGGCCTGCAATTACAGGCCCTGTAAGTGCCGCATTGGAAGGGAATGTGGGACCACATCATTGCCCTGTGGATTGATACCCCACAGTGTGCTTCCAAACCATCTGCAGCTGCTTTTCCAGGAGGCTGCCAGCCCTCCTGATTGCCCATGTCTGCTCCCTATAATCTGTTCCCAGACCCCATCCTTGCTGTCACTGTGTCCAGGCCAGGGCCACCGCCAGGGCAGGAAAGGCCAACCCCACCCTCCCTCTGCTGCCTTCTACTTCAAGCAGTGCAATGTGGATAAAAAGAATCAGGAACAGTTCTCTGGAAAAGAGGGCACCAAAGGCTCCATATGGAAGGTACAGGGTCTTAACGGTATTGTCTGACCCCCTGCAGCAGGAAGCTGTCCTGTTTCACCTAACAGGCTGGCTGCCCTGGTTCCAGGTTACCCCTAGAGCATGCATTTTTCCCTCTGCTCGCTGCAGTGGCTAACTTGTCCTGCCAGTGGTTGGCTCTGCCTTGGAGCCACTCCTGCTGGGGCTCCTCCTGAGGTACACTAAGGCTCTGATCCAATGTAGTGGGTCACTCAGACTCCAGCCCCTTGCCTTAGTTCCACAGGTCTTCTGGAGTAGACTCCAGGGCACGCTCAGGGTGGCAAGCTTTAGTACTTCCCACCCTTAGCACAGTTACATCTTTGTCCTTCCAAACCAACAGCAAGGAGTTTGTAGTTGTGCCGCACGGCATTGGCCTGCTTTGCCTAGAAAGAGATGCCAGGTGTCCTGAGCACCCAGACACACTGGCTCTATATGCAGCTCTTCTCCCTCTCTCCCTCCCTTCCTGTATGCCTGACTTAGTTTTACAGTTGAGCTCTCGGGCATTCTCCATCTCCCCAAATAAGACACTCATAGTCAGAGGATACCACCACATTGTGTTTAGTGTCATTGAACAGAGCCTCTGACCCTCTCCAACATGGGCCCCTTCCACCTCCCCAGGCCAGGCCGAGAGAGACATTGAGGCCTAGGTAGGGAGATTAGCAGGGGGCATCCAGGGCCATACCCATATGTAAATAATCTATAATATTTATATATTTATATAGAATTCTCTCTGTAGTATATGTCATGGAATCTCTCTTGGGCCTGGGGTAGGAAATGTCACTAAGAAAACATGCTAAGACTGGCCATAAAGATGAGTGTTTCTCCGACCTGGAGACAGAGCAGAGGGTGTATAGGTGGGGCAAGGGGAAAAACTCAGCCCTAAAGATTCCCTCCCTGACACAAGGAAAAGAAGGGAGGTATATGGGGAGGGAGAGGACAATGGAAGGGAAGGAATGGAAGGTTTGGATTTTCATTTAATAAAGTCAGTTGAAAATGAAAGTGCACCCCCCCTAAAAAAATCATTTAGCAAGAGCAGTTTCATTCACAATATAAAAAGCAGCCCTGCTCCAGAGCTGCTGTAATGCGTGCTGCACAGCCTTTAACCCCAAAGGAAAAGCAACCCTTCCCGCCCCCCAACAGCCTCTTCCTGCACATGCCCCACCCCTCCCCTTAAAATAGGCTAGAGAAGCAAACCCCCATGCACCCTTCCCCAGCACCAGAGAGGTGGTCCCTCCCTCCAGACAAGTTCAAAGTGGTCCTGGGCCAGCTTCTTGGGTCTTCTCTCTTCAGAGCTGGGTGGGCCCCACCTGCCTCTGTGGCAATATGCCAGCAGCCTAGGGAAGCCAAACCCCTGCTCAGGTGAAAACCCTGCTAGATTCCTGCTAAGCTTTCACTGGAGACCATTTGGCTTCCTTGGAAAAGGAAGGAGAGCTGCTTTAGTTTATCCTTCCTTACTCCCCAGGGCCCGAGCAAAAAGGAACCATACTAAAGGAAGCCACTCACTGGACTGGATGTCCGTCGTTACCTGGGGGAAGAATACAGGAGTTGAGACAAACAGAGGGTGTGTTGATAGAGCAGGATGGACAGGGCAAAGACACAGACCCCTAGGAGGTTAGCTTGAGCATGCAGTTTCCTGGAGGTCTGGGACAGGAGACTGGTGGCCAGGGGCAGCTGCTGGGGTTGGCAGGCTAGCCTTTCCCAGTATGCCAAATCACAACACATTAGCAAACACAAAGTATCTTCTCCATTCAGGCATTTGTTGAGATTAAGTGACCTGTTCACCTGCCTTGCCTGGCCAGGTTTACTCCCACGTTTCCTCCATTAACCAATCTCAAGATCCCATGCTTCCCCTTCCCCTGGAGGATGTGGGATACCTACTCTGGTTACCCCTTCAGAACAAGTGTGTGAGAATATGAATGTGGTACATGATGTGGAAACATCCCAGCTCTCAGCCTCATCAGTCCAAAGTCACAGACATGGGGCCTGAGGGTGAGGGAGTCAGCTGGGACCCTGACAGTATAGAACACAAGGCCTTGGAACTGGAGCCTTACACAGATGGGAGGAAAGAGGAAAACAGGGCAACAAACCTCGGGCATCTGCTACCAAAACCCGACCTATGCCAGGGGCCAGGCAGAGGCTGCTGCTGTTGCAGCAGCCTGACAGCACTTGCTGCTGCCCCTGGTCCCCATGGTGCACTCCAAATCAGAGTGGAAAGTAGGTGTGGGCAGGCAAGCTTGTGTCTCACTGCAACCTGTCCTGCAAGGAACAACAGAAGGAGGACCCCTGGGAAGAGGTACCCACCCTAGCCCTCAGCTACCAGCCCAGCCCGGCCAAGGCAGCAACAGCACCAGACTCCTCACTCCACCCTGCTCAACCCTGAGTCCCCAAGAAGTTATAAAAATGTAGAAAAGGCAAAGAGAAAAGTGTAAACAGCTCCAGAGAATTAAGGGAGGGCAGAGGGAGGCCCAGCCCTCATTCCCCCCACTGATGGGGACACTGCATCCCATGTGGACAGTCTGAGACTGGTGTCCCCCACCTTCCACAGGGCTGGGCTCCAGATGGAGAAGGCAGAAAGGGAAGCCAAGACTGGAGAAGCTAAGCCCCATTTGGTCTTTTCCCAGATCCTTGGGGGTCTTCCTTACAGCCACAGGACATTCAAGTGGCTGTGTTTATTCTTTGTCTCATCAGTGACCCTCTTGTCTCTGGGTAGACCTTGGGGTAAAGAAACATGCTGTGACCCCTGTAAATCCCAGCTGCCATAGCTACCTCCTCCTTGGCTTCTGATCCCAGAAGCCAAATTACCCACAGAGGGCAGACTGTCTACCCTGGATGCAGAAAGGCCCTTCAGACCACTCCTCTGTGCCCACTAAGCCATGTCCACCAGCCCCTAAGGTCTGTTCCTCACAGTGGGGATGCACTGGGGCCATAGCCAGAGAAAACAGAGTCGGGAAAGCAAGAGTGAAATGGAGAAAGGAGGCATTCAGACAGTACAGCCAAGGCTCCTGGAAGACGAAATAGGGGTGTAAGAACTGAGATCCACTGTTCAGCACGACATGCCTGGGCATGGGCCAAGAGCCACAGCCATGGTTCATCTCCCACCACCACGCCAGATTCACAGCCACCTAATTGCCTGGGTCTCAGTTCCTAGAATGTGGTTTCTGAAGTGTAAGCCTAGATAAAACCCCCTGCTGGTCCTCCACTTTCCAGGGCGAGGGAGCGGGCAGGCGTGAGGCTGGAGCTCCGGGTTCCCTGCTGTCTTCTGCCCGGGTTACAGCTGTGCTGCTGAAGCACAGGAGGGTATGGCTTTGCAGCCATGTGCCTCAGGTCAGAGTGGGGTAGGAGGGAGCTAGTTGTTGGCATCCCCCTCCTCCTCATCAAAGGACTGCACACCCGAGGATGTGACATCAGACACTTTCCGGCTGAGAGCAGTGGACATCTCAGGGTCTTCTCGTGGTGAAAGTGACTCCAGGTCCCGGCATCCTGCATCCTCTTCCTCCTCAAGGGCCAGTGGTCTCTTCTCTTCCTCTACAGGGCCCCTGGCTAGGTCTACCCCACCAACCCCTGGTGCCCAGTCAGTGTCCACCCCCAGCAAAGGTGGAGGCTCCTGAGCAGAATATCCAGAAGCAGGTTGGGGAGGCCCCATGTCATGCAGGCTGGGCTGTGAGTCATCAAATGCAGGGCCAAGATAGGATCCTGTGGCTGGAGATGCGATGAGGGACTGGTCACTTGCTTCCCAGGCATCTGAAGACCCCAGACAGTACATGCCCTGTGACACGTAAGAGTGAGGCCAGCCATCCATAGGGGCTTGAGCTAGGGCATCTGTAAAGAGAGTGAGCAACGTTGGAGGAGCTCCAGAGCATCAGAGGCTGTGACAGGACCCCACAGAACAGGGTGATGCACAGAGGAAAGAGACAGTGAAGAAGCTGAGACAAACAGGAACAGCCTAAAAGAACAGAGGTGCAGAGGGATCCCAAATAGCAGCAAAGCCTCTGAAGCTCCAGGGGTTGGATTCCAGAACCATCTCTCACCCTGACTTTCCATCAGCTCCTGGTAGTTATCACTGTAGTTGCATCCCAGTGGCTCCTGGGTAGAGTTGACACTCATGTCTTCACCATCCATGGAAGACCAGGCCATAAGTGTTGCCTCGGAAATAGCAAACTGCTCCATGACACCTGTGAAAAAGGGCGATGATCACAAGATCCCTCAGATAACCCTTAGAGCCATGCAAGGGTGTGGAGACACCTACGGTAGCTCTGTTCAGTGAAGTAAAAGACAAGCCATGGGTCACCTGCAACTCTGGAGCAGCCTCGTTTCGGAAAATGAAAAAGGGGGGCTGGAGAAGTGGCTCAACGGTTAAGAACAATGCGCCTGCTCTAGCAGAGGACCCGAGCTTGCTTCCCAGCACGCACCTCAGGCAGTTCACCGTGACTGCCTGTAACTCCAGCGCCAAGGGATCTGATGCCCTCTTCTAACTTCCGCAGGCACCACACACCACACAAGTGCACAAACCCACACTAACACACACACATATACACAAAAAGAAAAAGAAAAAAAAATTTTTTTTTGAGACAGGGTCTCACCATGTTCGTGGCTAGCCTGGAACTCTCCATGTAGAGCAGGTTAGCCTTGAATTTACAGAGCTCTACCTGTCTCTGCCTCCCAGTGCTAGGATTAAAGGCATGTCTGACAAATAAAAATTGTCTTTTAAAAAAGACAAGTGAAATTAGTTTTAATAATATATCTTAAATTTTATTTAGTTCAATATAAGGTTCTCCTTTTAACATACAACTAATATAACATTATTAATGGAATATTTTATATTTTATTTGTATGAAGCCTGAAATTTAGTTGATATATTGCTTACAGTACATCTCTTTTGAGACAGACCACATTTCTAATTCTCAATAGCCACATGTGGCCAGTAGTCACTATACTGGACGGTGCAATCGTTGTACCTGCCCTGAAACAAGCCCAAACCATGGGGGACCTTCCAGAAGGCTGCACTTGGATTCCTATCAAAAAAAGAGCTGGGCTCTTCAGATGAAACAGCCTAAGGAATTGAAGTTGGAGATTCTAGAAGTTTGTCTTTGGGAGTTTTAGAAATTGAACTTATGGTGGTCAAGGTCAGAGGGATCTAGATGGTAGGTTTCAAGATCAATGAAGAACCCAGAAGGGAGGATCAGGGGACTGTGAGTCCCCAGTGATATAAAATTGAAAGCTCAAGGGACTGGGAAAAGGGATGGAGCAACAAAGAGTGAGGATGACTACAGTTGTAGGTTCCTATTCCAGTCAGAGCCAAAAGTAAGCCGAAGCTTAGGTTCCTATATTGCCCTGTCCTACCTCCCGACCCTCCATGTCTGTCACCTGCCCCACTGAGAGTTACGACAAACACGTACAACCTAGATCAACAACATAATGATTTTTCCCTTCCCTTCAGACCTATCACTCTTCCTAAGTATCTTACTACTAGGATTGGTCCACTCTTGTTAGGAACATCACTTGCCTGTTATCAGATCTGTTCTGTTTTCCTGAAACTAAAACCTCTTCTGTGATCTACTGTTTTGAAGGCCAATTTCCTTGATCATCTACTGGTTGTCACAGTAATGACTCCAGTAAGTGAATTCCTGAAATCAAATGCTGATAGGCAAGGAAGGAAGAACTCCCCAAAGCCTCTGAGAATTTTCTCCATTTTTAGAAACATACAAGCAGAGATTTTGAAGCCCAAGGCCCCTGTGTTTTTATACATGTGGCCTCACAAATTTCATGAGTCCCATTTTCTGAGGTTATAAATATGTTTGAAGGTACTTATCAAAATTAACTAGTAAAAAACAAAAATACTTGAAATTAGAGCTGTTAGGAAATGTAAGCCTATGGTGAGCACAGAGGAAGCCAATTCTGCCACAAGGGAGCAGGCTGGAGGGTCAGCCTCTAACCATCCCAAAAATATATCACTTGAGGGATTGGGGTACAAGTACCTGCCAGGAAGCGTGCCTCCTTCTCGCCATCGCTGAGGTCAGAGTAAGCATCTGTGTCCCTGCGCACAGCCTCGTGGCTATGCTGAGGCTGAACGGCCGGGGCCTTCCCCCAGCCCTGCCATTCAATCATGTGGGCCACCCGGCCTTGCCCCATGGCTGTAGGTTTTGTCACGTGGTCCTTCATGCTCCTGGAGATCCCTAAGGGGCCAAACAATACCCACATCCACCAGAATACCACACAGTGCCCATTACAGACCTACCCCATCATCCCCACCCCAGTCATGTGGGATTCCATCCATGGGGCAAGTGTCCTGCAGTACTCCATGCACGAGGAGGAGCCTCAGGACAGGATAGGTTTGACAGAAAGGGAAGATGATTCCGAGCTTGGGTGAACCTCAGGCTTGAGGAGCATGGACACAAGGAGGAGCCTGAGAGTGTTCCAGTCTTGATGCATTTCCAGGCTGAGAGTCTTACCTGAGAAGGACGACTTGGCCAGGGCCCCAATGCCATAGGCATTAGAGTTTCTCTTGAGCTTCGGAAGGATGGAAGTGGTATCCTCCATGGAGAGCTGGGATGGGGAATGAAGAGAATGGACAGAGGCGAATACAAAGGTATGGGGTACCTTACATATAGGATAGAGTTTTGGGCTTCCAGGAAGGATACAGGGAGCAAGTGGTAAGAAAAACCAAGGAAGTATATGCCTGATACATCCCCTGAAACCCGGGGGCTAGGCAGACCAAGAGAGGGCTCATGCTTCCTGCTGAAGTCAGGTAGCCTGTGTCCACAGATGGTCCCCAAGAATGTAAGGAAGAAGGGTCATGGTAGATTGAGGAGGGCTGGGGCAGCTGCACTCACATTGATGCCATCCCAGGAGAAATCTGTTCGCGTTTGCTGTAGGAGAGAGGAAAGGAAACTGTATCTGGACACTTGTAGGAGTACATGTAACCTTGTCTTCCACAAAGAGACTTTCAGAAGTATGCAGAGAAGCAGGCTTTCCTGAGGCTGAGAAAGGTGTCAGTGTGGAGCATTTGGTGTTTTCAGGGAGGTAGGGAGAAGTGGTCTGTTTGGGTCTAAAGGAGTGGAATGATGCCATAGAATCTAGGAAGAAAACTTAAGATCAAGCAGCTAAGGACTTGAGGAGGGTAGTTACTGGGCCCATGGGGGTACCCAGCCTCACCTCAGTAGAAGGCCGATGGAGGCTGCTACCGTGTAGTGAGCTAGTACTGTCCATGTTGATCTGGTCAACATCCTTGAGGCCTTTCCAGTCCACTGCAATCACCTCGTTTCCTGAAATAGCAAGAAGGTTAGTTTCTGGCCCTCCTGGGTCTCTCTCCTTGCTCTTTCCCACAGAGTATTGAGACCACACCTGTGGTCCAGCCTTTCCAAACCCCATCTCTCTCCCCAGCAGTCTTGTCTTGATTGCTCATTTCTGTCTACCTCTCTACTGTACCCAAATTTGAGAGAAATGGTGAACCAAAACATTCAGTTTCAGCTTAACGGGGATATAACACTTAGAAAAAAAAAAATGCTTCATGGCCTTATTTGAAGTTGTTTACACAGAGCGGGAGGGGTCAGAGACTGGGTTGTATTAAGAAAGCCATTCTCCATTCTGTGCTGAAGAATCTACAAAGCTATCTATATGGGACCCCAGCTTCATGCCAATTACAGCTCTACAAACAAGAGCTTAGCTTCTAGGGGAAGCTTCTCTGCTCCACACGTGGCTTTGATATTTGAGGGCTGGGAGGAATGTACCTTCCCTCTTGGGCCCTCCTAAGAGTTGGTGAACTTGGCTAACTGAAAAGGGGTGGGAATAGAGAACTTGAGCCTCCCCCCTCCCCCAAACCAGAGAACCAGGGGTGAGGCTTTGCACTCAGTTCTCTCTGGAGACAGGGAATGGGTTCAAGAGAAGAGACAGAGATAGTACCAGCAAACAAGGACTTTGAAAAATGGGATCTAAAACAACACAAATTCAAAGTCAAGAAGAAAACAGAAGCCAGTGGGGGAGAGATGGTGGAGAGCTGATGGAAACTCAGGAGGGAGAATCCTGACCTGACCACAGGGTGGAACGTTCTGAAGTCTTGGGGAAGAATTTCTTGAGTATTTAGAGATTCAAGTATCAAGTGACTGCCTGAGCCATCTGCCTTTAAAGATCCATTGTACACGTGAGGGCTTACACTTCCGAGTTTAGGGCTACAGGTCTCTTGTCCAGAAGTGCATTGACTGGGTCTTGGGCATGAAGAGGCATTGGGTATCCACCATCACAACTAGTGCAAAAGGAAAGGGATGATGGTGCTGGGACCAAGCGTAGGACTTCCCTCCACCCCAAGTGGCTCTGCTCTCCCTTGGGACCTTGTGGGACGATGAGATGGGTTCAACCAGGGCCTGTGGCTGGGACAAAGAGGAAAGACATCTGGATGGACATAGCTGGAACGGGGCAGTCAAAGAGCAATCTCTGAGAAGAGGGGGAGGGAGGGGAGGTGGCCTTTGAGGAAGAGAGCTGAGTCAGACAGAGCCTTGGGGGGCAAGAAGGGGGAGGGAAAGAGAACAGGGAAAGAGGTGAAAGCGGGGGGGGGTCTCCATGGAAATAAACCGGGTCTCAGAAATCAGGCTTCCGGAGAGTGAGTTTGTTTGTAGTAATAATACGAATTATTCTCTCAGCCTGAGGTCACTGGGGTGTGTAGGCGGGAGAAATTGGGAGTTAGAAAGGGAAAAATTGGGGGGTTTGGGAGAGGACTGCATTAATTTGTTAAGCCCTCAAGTAGAGTTGGTGCGTGGGGTGGGGGATAAGGAGGCGGTAGTAAGACACAGGCTGGAGGGAGAGGACCTTAAAGCTCTCTAAGTGTCTTTCTTCCCTCCCCCAGTCAAAGGTAAATAAAGAACCGGCCCCGCCCCGCCAGCCCCCGCTGACAGGTGCAGGCGGGTCCTGGGGTTCCTAGGCTGGCACCACCCTTCTGGGAAGCGGAGTCCCGACCCCTTTCGGGGCTCCAAACCTTCACCCAGAGTCCACCGGTTCTTCCGGAGCTCCCCCAGTCCAGCCCCATTCCCTCCGGGTGTGGAACCCCTTCCCTCCCCGCGGCACAGACTCTTCCCGCCCCCGCCCCAGAGGGAAAATGCACGTGAACAAAGCAAATCGGGGGAGGCAAGAGCGACGGAAAAAGGCTACCGAGAGGGAAACGGCTGGGGGCAAAACACAAGCCAGATGGAAGGTGGCGGGGAGTGGGGATGGGAGGCGGCGCGCGGAAGAGAGTCGGGGCTGGGCTGAGGAGGGGGTTCTGAGAAGAGGGGCTGCTCCAGGAAGAGGGGCGCGGGGAGGCGCTGGGCACGGCGGATGGCCTGGAGGTGGAAGGATGGGGACACCGGGAGTAGAGCGGAGCGGTGGAGAAGCGAGGGAGGCCGATGGAGAGGCGCTGGGGAAGGACCGCGCCTGCGGGAGGGCGATGGAGAGAAGAGAAGGAGCCCAGAGGGATGGAAGCCTAGGAGGCACGAGAGGAGAGCGCGAGGACGCAGGGATGGAGGGACCGCGGGGTGGAGAGACGACGGGCGGATGGAGGGAAAGTGAAGGCGCGAGGCCGGGCCGGGCGGGCTCCGGGAGAGGTCCCCCGGGGGCAAGGACCGGGATGGGGGAGGGAGCAGGAGGAGCGCCCCGGGGCCGAGCCTGCCCCCTACCCGCGCCCGGCCGCGGTACCCACCCACGGTCCTCGAGCCGATGCAGCCCATGGCTCCGGGGGCCTCCGGGGCCCTCACCGACTCGGGGAGCGCGCCGGGGGGAGCACCGGGAGCCGCGCCGCCGCCCCAGCCGCTCTGCAGCGCCGCGGCTGTCTCCGCTCGGCTCCGCTCCCCCCTCCCCTCTCCATCCCTCCCCACGGCAGCCTCCGTCGCCGCCGCCGCTGCCGCCGCCGCCGCCGCCTGGCTCCCCCGCCCGGGCTCGCCTCCCGGCGGCCGGGGAGGGGGCGACTCAGGGATTGGCTGCGCCCGGCGCCTCCCCTCCCTGCCCCCGACCCGCCGCTGCGCTCCCTGCGCCCCTCCGCCTGTCCTTCGCAGCCTCGCGCCCTGGGGCTCCTCGCCCACTTCCCTCGGGGTGCACCCCCAGGATGCTGGAGGAGACATGGGAATGGCCCGCTTGTAGCCGGGTCAGGAGCTGAGGGCCCACCCTTGGGCTCTGTTGGGTGGACTTTGAGGGCTGCGGAGTCAGAAGGCCTTTCAGAGAAAGTGGGATGGGCGTGAGAGGACACCAGGCTAAATGGCCTTGGATACCACATTCCGCAAACACTTGTTTTCTTCCTGAGGCTGCATCTCGGACACGCGGGATCCGGATTGGATGCTGCTCAGGTTGCTCTGCGATTCGTGTGCGCTACTCTTTCCACCCAAACAGATCATGAAGTCTTCGCCAGTGGATCGTGCGTGATGCTTTCCCTATCCTCTGACCGTTCTGGATGGGTGCGGGGCTGGTGCAGGTCATCTAACTCCAGGCTTGGGTGGGGATGACACAGGAATGGGGATAATTCTATCGCGGCGACAGAGACTTGAAAATACCAGGACCCCAGGCTGACAAGAACACATGGTTTTAAACACGATTTAACTTTTCCAAGCCTTGCAGGGATGGATGTGAGGAGGCCATAAAGAGAAAACACTGCCCCCTGCCGAGAAGGAAGGACTCGGGACTACACTAAAGGCCCCATGGAAAGGAGAGGGAGATCTTGAGTTGCAGGAGTTAAGGGGCCTCTTTTTCCCACACAGGAAGAGGCAAGAGGAAGGGCATGGAGCCCCGTTCTGCCTCAATTGTTCCAGAAAGAGATTGAGCAGGCTAGGGTGGCACCAGTGAAGAGAAGCAAATGCTAATTCAAAATGTTTGCCCCCCCCCCCATAGCTTTTATGTCCCTCTTGGGGCTAGCGAGTGATAGGACAGTGGTTCAAGGTCTCTTGTGGGTTTGTAACGGAGGGAAAGGACAAATCTTCTAGAACACAACTTTATGACATTTAAGTTATGCCTGGGAAGCGACATCCTATGAAACTCCAGATGTGGGAGAGGCTGTCCATGCTGGTGCCATAATAAAATGCCTGTGATCGGGCAATTTATAAAGATTGAAAGATTGTTTAGCATTCTGTTCTGGAGGTGGGAAGGCCAAGAGCCTGGGGTCAGCACCTGCTCCAATTGTGGTAAGGACCTTACTGCATTGTAACATACAGGGAGCTGTATATGGTGAGGCACCGTGAGTATGCTGGTTTCAGCCTCTTTCTCTCATAAAGCCACTAGTGCCCACCTGTGATCTCATCTAACCCTATTTACCTCTGCATGACCCTGTCTCCAAATATCATTTACATGAATTTAGAGACTAAGTTTTCAACTCATGGGTTTGAGGGGACACATTCAAATTCTAGTAAGTATTAATAATCTAATTGCAGATCTGAGAGGAGTGATTACAGAGATAAAATTGACCTTTGGTCTATGTGCCAGAATTCAGAAACCGGGGTACATCTATAAAGCTATGGGGAAGAACATAAAACCATCAGTTATAGGTCTGTGTAGATTTTAATAATCCAGTAGGCAGGATCAGATGCTTTATTCAACAGTAGAGGGAATTTAAAAGTATTTTCTTTCTCCTGTGTCTCCTATTATTGGTTATACAAAAGAACTACCAAATGATTGCAGTTTTTCTGAAATCTATTGTCTAGCTGTAAAAGAGAGAAAACAGAAATAAAAAGAAAAGGGAGAATGAAGAGATGGAGGGAAGAAATGGAGGAGGAACAATTATCCCAGCATCGCTCTCACCTGTTATTTGTACAGACACACTGTTGAAAGGGACTAGCCAGGTACAGGTGTCATGGATCAAGTGAGCATTGCTGCTACATGCAACCCACACAAACTTCTCTCCTCTTCCAGTGTGCAGAAGAACGTATTTTATATGTTATTATGTATATTGTACTGTGGTCCAAACAGGAATAGCAACCCATTCCTTTAGTCCCCTTAGTACAGCTATGTAGAACTGGATCTGGAATGGCAAATTTAAATGCAGTTAACATGAAGGATCCCAGGCCTTAGAGACCCCGTTTCATCTTACAGTCTACACTGAAGGCATTTTCAACACTAGAGAAAAGAAGGCTATCCTGGGCTCTGTCCTCGACAGCTTCCTCTGGTTCTTGCAGGAACCCTTGCTTCATTGTCATTTAGGGGCCCTCTCCAACTCCCTTTCCCATCTCTTGAACCAAGACTAAAATTCCAGTTATGGTAAGAACAGAAGCAACCTTCCTGGGAGACAATTTGACAACAGGAGTATACATACATACATACATAAATACATACATACATACATACATACATACATGTGTGTATGTGTGTGTGTGTGTGTGTGTGTGTGTGTTCCCTCATTCTACTCAGGTGGCTGAGACAAAAGAAATGAGGGTTCAGGATGGACTGGCCTGCATAGAATGCTCAAGGCCAGCACCTGGGCAATTTTTCAAGACTCTTACCTCAAAGTGAAATCTTTAAAAAGGGCTAGGTGGGGCTAGAGAAATGGCTCAGGGATTAAGGACATTTGCTAGTATTTCAGAAAACTCAAATTAGGTTCACAACACTCACATAGTGGCTCACAATTGCCTGTAACTCTAGTTCCAGGGGATCTGAGGCCCTCTTCTGGTCTCAGTGGGGGTTGCACACACATGGTACACTTCCGTACATGTAGGCAAAACACTTGTACACATAAAATAAAAATAAAGAACTAAATAAAAATTTAAAGGGCTGGGTAAGCACTTGCCTAGACTATACAAGGCCTGAGTTCAATTACCAGGAGCACACACAGAGTAAAATCTTTAACATATGCATTGTTCTTATGGTTGTTATTAAATGTGTTCCAACTATTCCATTTATAAAAATATTCTAGGGAAATATAATATGGGCAAAAAATCAATTTGTATTAGAGCATAGTTTGCATCATACTGGGGGGCTAACTAGGTAAATTGTGATGTATATCAATAATAAAATGGTATGTAGCCCTTAATACTATAACTACATTAGCTGGCATGGAAAATTACTCATGCTAGGTTTTGATATTATTAACAAGCAGGCTATAATGTAAGAATTAGAGTTTATGAGTTTTTTGTTTTTCTTTAAAACATACACATATTCTTCCTGTCTTTTTCAGTCTCTCCATCCTAAGTAATTAATGGAATTTCCTGAGGAATGCTTATGCTTTACAAAGCTCCAACCCAACCATCAGTTACAGTTTGACCCTCAAAAAAAATCCTAACATTAATTGGTTCATTTCCAAAGTCTAAAAATACAGGACTTTGGCAGAATGCCCCAACGTGGCACTTCCTAGCTGGTTCCCTCTGGGACACAGTCCCAAGGTGAAATCAAGTCTTTCTTCTTTTCTGTTGATGCTGGCACGTGCCTTTGACCTCTTGTGGGTAGATCTTCGACAGAAGGAACCAGTCGAGCTCAGTGGCAGTACTGTTTATTATGTAGATTCCTGTTGTAGGATTCATGGACAGAATAAAAATTCCATAACCTTGGATGGAAAAAGCATTACATCTTTACATTCTCTAATAGCTGAAATTCCTCATTTACTTCAGCGGTAAAGTGGGCAGCAAATCACAGTGGTGTTAGAAGTCCTGTATCTTCATCATCGATCAAAATCACAGATGCTTATAAGACCATTGCTGAAGGGTTTATACACACACACACACACACACACACACACACACACACACACACACACACACCACTGCCGCTGCCACCAATAACAACAGCAACAACAACAACTATTTAAGTCTTTTTGTTAAAAAAAAGAGATTGGGGCTATAGCTTGAGGGTAGAACACTTGCTTAGCATGCATGAGGTTCTGTAGTTGTTTTAAGTCAATGATATTATTTATTTTATTTCTTACCAGTTTTATACATATATACAATGTACTATGATGCCATTCACCCTCATTACTTCCTTTATCCCCTTTGCTTTTTGTCTGAACCCCTCTTATTCAGGGTTCCCCAGGGGCTATACCACTAAAGAAAATAACAACTCCTCCTCCAGCAACCAGTAACAACCAAGAGCTCAGGAAGGGGTGGGCCTTTGTGGGCGCCTCCTCTATCCAAGAGGGACTGCTGAAGGGCCCAGTCTTGTGCAGGTGTCCGTAACTGCTCTGTGTTCATGAGTGCAACAGCCATATTGTATCCGGATGGCAGTGTTTCATGGAACTCCCTCCCATCTGCCAGCTCTTAATTCTTTCTGTCCACTCTTCTGTAGTATTTTAGGCCATAGGTTTATTCCCCAGCACCACAAAAATAAACAAACAAATAAATGAATTGTCTTTGAGCTGGCTGTGCACAGACCTATAATCCCACTTGGCCATTACTGGGACATGAAGGCAAAAGTTCGAGGTCAATCTTGGCTATATGGCAAGTTCAAGGTCAGTCTAGGTTATATGAAACCCTATCTTAAAAAACAAAACAAAACAGGGGGCTGGAGAGATGGCTCAATGGTTAAGAACACTGGTTGTTCTAGTAGAAGACCCTGGTTCAAATCCCAGCACCCACATGGTGACTAACAACCACCTGTAACTCCAGTTCCAGGGGATCCGATGCCCTCTTCCATCCTCCAAGGGCATTGCATGACATAGGTGCATTTACGCATATGCAGGTATAATAACACTCATACACATAAATAATAAATAAATAAATAAATAAATACTCCCATGAACCAGAGCTGTGAGCCCCTCCTGTGAGCTGGAGCTGTGGTCCCCTCTTGAAAATTTTCTCTGGTAGTGGGCTGATGGTGGAAGAGATTGGAGGAAGTTGTACATGGCAATGGCTTTGTGTCTGTGTAGACTTATACTTGGGACAGGGGAAGTTTCTGTCATTTGCAGATTTTAGTCTT